ATATATATATATATATATATATATATATACTTTTCCTAGGGGAATGATGAAATTGGATGAGGGGAAGGAGAGGAGCAGGAAGGTTTCATTATCTGAGCAACTAGACCTAGAAGCTGGTACTTGGGCACATCTTTACAAATCCTTGTGTTGAACTGATGCCATCAACCTGTAGTATTGTGGTTATGTCTCCGATCATTATCAGTTAAAATCTGTTGAAATGTTTGGCATGCCCCAGGTGCGCTGGCTACAGAGTTGTGCTAACTTGGTGCAGATTGGGGCTCCTCTCCCATGATGGGCCTGTCGGGGTCAGTATTTTGAGGTTCTGGGATTGTCAGGCAATACAGGAAGGTAAGAAATAACTAAGTGAGGTCCTTTCTGCTCTGACTTCTCAGAGGGTTTTCTCTCAGAAACTCCTCTTTTGCATTCTCAGTGGCTTATGTGAATATGCCAGCATGCAGGGCTATTGTTAAAATAGTTCCCAATTCTGCTGAGGAAAGGCCCTGTAAAGCCATGTTTTGAGATTGGCCCTTGAAAGCCCTTCTTCCTGATCTTGGAGAGGAGGCCTAGCTGATAGGCTAGCAACATCAGAGGTATGTTTATGATAGGCCCAATCTGATGTGTCTTGAACCTTGGGTCCCTGCTCCCCAGGCATTTAAGGGGTCTACCCCCACTTTTTTTTTTTTTTTTTGGCATGGAGCTGAAGCTGGCTTGTTCTTCTCTGGGAGAATGGCATTGAGTTTGAGCTCTTGGGTTGGTTCCATTTCCCTATGGGTGAGGAAGCCTCCAGCAGGGAAGTTTGAATACTGAGCCGCAATATTTACTATTATTTGCTGCAGTGAGGAAACCCAAAGGCCAAGTTTTCAGAAAGTCCACTGGGGTTGCTGACTTGGTGCTGGTCAGAGCAGGAGCTGCAGCACATACTATTTTATAATAAATACTAATGAAATTCTAGATGTATAATAGCATTTCAGATATCTAAAACAAACCATGTGCTTGTAAAAAAGTGGAAAGAGATCAACTTTAAGCCATAAATTCTTGGTAATAGAGGGTTTTTTTCCTATTTATGTTTGATAGATATTTTTGTTTCCAGAGGAATGTCAACTCCTAATTTCATAATGTATCATGGGCTTAAGAAAATTGAATTTAATAAAAGCCAAAGATGAATGGCATCCTTAAAGGTCCCAACACTTGTCTTTATTAGCAGGACAAACTGCAGGTCTCCAAACACTGCTTCTCTCCAAATGAAAGTTTAAATGAAAAGTACAGTTGTGTCACAGGTTAAATTTCATTGTGGGCCCAGCTAACATTGTTAGTGAGGAGCTGGCTATATTTGTTTCCTTAGACACTGGAGTAGCCAAACTCACCAGGATACAGAGCTCTTTCTGCTAGGAAAGCATTTCTTCTACTTAGAAGGTGAGGAGGGATATATAAGAAATTCAAGAGTCAGATGAGCCTAACTCAGTTGAGCTGTACTTCAGAGTTGGCTTTTGGAAATCTTGGATATCTGAATTTTCAGGGGGACTAATGCATATCGTGTGTGTGTGTGTGTGTGTGTGTGTGTGTGTGTGTGTGTGTGTGTGTGTTCAATTTTGTGATTCAGGGCAAAATTCCCCTTTACTTTGTAATGCTTTGTGGGAAACAAAAGGTCCAGAGAAATGGGAAATAAATGCCCATTTCTCTTCACCTGGGAGGAGAGATATCACCTAGTCTAATCAACAGCCTGGGCCTCGTCTCTGTCTTCCTTCTTTGCAGCCATTTTGCCCTTTCTGTCTTTGGGAATAAGCTGTCAGCTTCCCCATCTTTGGAGATCAGCCCAGGGAGATCAGGCAACCAGAATTTTTGAATTTCTCTGGCATGAAATCTGACTGACTTGATTTAGTTTTCAGTCCTGCTGTTATGTATTGGATTGAAACAGATGCTTTAAAAACAAGCCCAATATTAGTCGGTATGTTTGGCAGGGAGGATACCTGGCTTCCCTGGGACATCAAGGAGATTGAACATTTCTCCCATTTTTCCACGCATTCATTTCCTAAGTACAGTCAGGTGTCATCAGCTTGTGTTGCTTCTTCAGGCTGTCTCTGGAGAGAACCGATTTACCTTTTTTTTAGTGATTCTGGAAAGGACCTCTCCAGAATGGGGGATCTGGGGACAGGGATGCCACTGGTGCTATTAGAGGCCACTGAATGGGCAAAACCCCTTTCTCGCTCTGCAGTAGAGGCCCTTTCCACATGCTAATTTTACTCAGAGAATTTTCCTTTATTTTTTTATTTTTTTTTATTATTATTTCCTATTTGTCTCTTCCAGATGTTTTCAGGGCAGTTTTTTTGTGTTGTAAACTAATTCCATTCATGTTTTAAAAATTTATGAAAGCGCTAATAAAAATGTCAAAGTGGTAAAAATGTTAGCTTTTCCTCTGCTTTGATTAAATTTTGCAAACTGTTTTTGAATATTAAAAAGCAATAATTTTTTTATTCTCTCTCCTTGCTTTCCCTCTTCTCTCTGGTAGGCATGTGCTCTCTCCTGCCCTCTCCCCCCTCTGGTGCATTTCTCCCTTCCCAGGAGCGATGTATGAGGCGTGCTGCACAGCCAGCGAGCGTTCTGCAAGCCTGTTTGCACACCAGGACCTTGGTGCTGTGCATCTCTATTAAATAACGGAGACAAATTAATCTTAGAGACACCAAACAAATTGTCACTCCTCCTCCTTCTCTTCCATTATGTTTCAGTGGACTGGGAAGGGCTGGCTAAGTGATTGGGCTGGCGGGGTGGGGGGCGGGAGATGCATACTGCCTGAAAGAAAGGTGGGAGGTGCTAGCTCCTATTACTTTTACTCAGTGTTTTCCTTCTCTTTGGGATCCCCTTTGGCATTATTTATTATTTATCTTCGTTAAAAAAAAAAACAAAACTAATGAAGAGACTCACCAGCTTTGTTGAACTTCATACAAGGCCCTTCCATAACAGGGGCCTGGGCAAGGGGAAGGAAGGCCTACTTTTATTGATTTTTTTTTTTTTTGAGTTGGAGTCTCACTCCGTCGCCCAGACTGGAGTGCAGTGGCCGCTCCCCGCCACTGCAGCCTCGACCTGCTGGGCTCCGGCGATCCTTCCGTCTCAGCCTTCCGAGTAGCCAGAATTACAGGCATGCTGATTTTTTGATTTATTGTAGAGATGAGGTCTCGCCAAGTTGCCCAGGCGGGTCTTGAACCCGCGGGCTCAGGCAATCCACTCACCTCAGCCTCCCAAAGGCGTGGGATTACAGGTTGAGCCACTGAGCCCGGCTGGAAGGCCTACTTTTAAAGGCTCAAGTGAGTAAGCCTCTGCTGGAGAACCAGTTGGAGAAACTGGGGCAGATTACACCACTGTCTTCCTTCCCCTTTCCAGAATCAGTGGAGATTAGGGATGTGTGTCCAGTCCCTAAAACCTGGGAGGGTTAGGATTGTAACTGTGTTACAACCATCTTGCTTAGTTTTGGGTTTGGCCTGGCAGGAGCTAATGAGCTCCAAACATTCATTCTTTCTTGACTTGGAGCTAATGTTTGAAATGGTTTGTTACAGTGACTTCTTTTTCCTTTTCTGTGTCTTTGGCACTCCAGGAAATCATCGAGTTCCCCATCCTGAAGCTAAATGGCCGGACTATGGAGATTGAGTCCACCTTTCACATGTATGTCCAGCCCGTAGTCCATCCACAGCTTACCCCCTTCTGTACAGAGGTAAGGGCCCTGGAGGTGGGCAACAAGGGCTGCTGGGAGGAGAGTGTTGGGATCATTAGTGCTTTATACAGGCCACTTAGGGAAAGCTTAGGTCTTATCAGTGGTTAAGGCTTGTGCACACTGGACCCAGTAGTTGGCTTTTTATGAAGTCTGCCACTCTACTCAGGCTGCTATTGTCTCTGGGGACCCAGAGAGAGCAGTGGCACAGTCAGCCCCAGCTTCCCCAACATTTTCCCTTCCTTGTCATCCCCACTTTTCTAGGGGACTGGGCACTTGGAGTCCAGGAGCAGGGTGGTGCTTCTGGGGCTCAGGTTCTTCCAGTTCCATTTTCCTTAGGGCCTCTTGGTGAAGATTTCAGCCACTTGGAAGAAAAGGCTATGTCCAGGCTTTCTTAACTTTCTAGCATTGTTACTCTGCCCTCTGTAAAAGGGCCCTGCATGAAGCAGAGGTTAAGTTTGCAGGCAGTGCATTCTGTCACTGAAGAAAGAGAAGGGCAGTCTGAGTGGAACATGAGGACTGGCTGGCCCAGGCTGAAATGTTCTTATCCTAGGCTGGTACTGTTCTCAGTCACCTTGTCAGCAGGTTAGTATTGATCCCGTCTTGCAGATTGTGAAACTGGGACAAACTGAGATTTTGGATGCTTGCCGGAGGTTCAAAAGAGTCATTGGCAGAAGGGAAGAGCCCAGAGAGTTCTGACTCCCAGGACTGTTTGGAGAAGGCGTCCATGGCTGCTTTCCTCTGTGATGTGTTGTGTTATGCACTCTGTGGTGGCCAGCAGGCAGTAGTGGGATCGTGGGTCAAGAATGTGTGGTAGCAGCAGTGGTGAGAAAACATGAATGTTTCTAGAATCTTTTAAGAGTTTGGGACTGAGATACATTAGAAACTTTGTGCTTTCATTTAAATACCTGTCTTCTGGATGTGAATGGAATAGGTGAACAGAAGTTCTTGAGTAATCCCAAACAATTTCCTTGGTATGGGAGAGGCTGCCTGACCCTGGTGGGAGGGCTCAGTGGGCTCTGCGGTTGACTTAACTGACTTAGCCCAGATCTGAGGTCTCAAGGGTTGTTCCTGGTCTTGAGGCCAGTGTTTGCCATCTGGCCCAAATGGGCCTTTTGTTACAGGCATCTATCTGCCAAGGTGCCTAGTTTCTTAAGCCTTTTTTTTTTTTTTTTTTTGAGTTGGAGTCTCACTCAGTCGCCCAGACTGGAGTGCAGTGGCTGCTCCCAGCCAGCGCAGCCTCGACCTGCTGGGTTCCGGCGATCCTTCCGCCTCAGCCTTCCAAGTAGCTGGAACTACAGGCACGCGCTACCACGCCTGGCTAATTTTTTGATTTATTGTAGAGATGAGGTCTCGCCAATCTTAAGCCTTTTGTTATTCTGACTGATGATGTTGAGGTTCTGGTTCCTTCCTCCTCTACTGGTATTTCCCCCCTGGGAGTTACCTATACCACCAGGGGGCGCTAATCTGTCCTGTTTGCCCCCTTTGAAAAGTCAAAAATTTTAGAGGTGTTGAAAATCCTCTTCCTTATGGAAGGGAAGGAAGGAAGTACTTTTTTCTTTTAAACCAGCCAGTTACCTGAACCCTTCATTGGCCTGAAAGTCTAGTGTCCTCTTGTCCTTCTCTTCCTCCTTTCTGTTTGCGGTCTGCCCTTCAGGGGCCCCAGCTCTGTGAGGCTAGGCTGCCTGGTATAGATGTGCAGGCTGGAACAGAGTGCTACTGGAGCTGGGCCTGAATGGGCGTGGATACCCAAGAGTATTGAGAAAAGAGGGATTTTTTTTTTTTCCCCCAGAGTAGGGCTCTGGGAGGGGAGGAAAACTGTGAGACTGTTAAAAACTGTTTCTTTTTTCTAGAACGTTTCACCCATAGATATATATATATACATAATTTGGAAGGTAGTAGCACTGGTGGTTTGATCTTTGTTATGAAGGCTGTTCTGAAAGTGAAAATGTGATTGTTCTGCAGGCACTGTGTATACCTTTTTATCTCAGGCTTCCAGATCTTAGAACTCTCCATGACCTGTCCCTCCTTTTTGTTGAGGCTCATCTCTTCCTGCTTCATCTCCTGCCTATTTCCCTCACCTAGAGGTTGCCCTCTCACAATCCTTCTTTACACATGATGGTCCCTCTGCTTGTGTGCTGCTCCCACTCTCCTCCTCCTAATCCTACTTGTCCTCCAGGACTGTGTTCAGGGTCATTGTCCCTGATCCCCAGTCTGGGTTGTACTTACCCCAACATAGATCAGATATATTATATTATGTATTACCTGTCTGTCTCCTCACTAGACTGTGAGTTCCTTGAGGGCAGAAATTAGACCTGATCCATCTCTGTCCAGTTGTAGGATCTGGATTGGTACCAAGTAAATACTTGATTCCTTAAATGAGCGAATATTGTCAAGGAGTTATTTTGTCTCCCCAAAAAGTAACCGTATGGCTGACTTGCTCTTTTGTGTAAGTAAAATCTTGTTTGGAAAACCCCTGAGCATCTAAATATTGCCCTGTTTCTATACCAGTTGGAATTGTATCACAGAGAGAAGCATGGACATAGGGTGCAGCCATCGTTCTGAGACCTCATCCAACCTGGCAGTAGCTGCCTTTGGAAGTGTGAGCAGAGGTCCTTCCAACCAGAGAGCATCTTTCATTAGTAAATGCAAGGAACAACCCCAGACCTCCAGATTATACCTAAGTAGCTCCTCTGGCAGGATTTTCTCTCTTGTGCATAAGAAGTTCTTAAGAATCCTAGCTTGTTTGTGTGTGCTTGTGCATGTGCACATGACACGTGTACACATATGAGCACATACTTGTGTGGAGAGAGAGGCAGCCTCAGTGCTGGATAGGAGGTAGAAGGATTCTGCCTTGAGTGAGTCTCTAGCCTATATATAGACACTCCTACTTTTACTGCTCTGTGTTAGAACATGCTGTTAGCCTTCTTGACGTCCTTTCTTAGTTCCACTGCTTGGAGACATGGTTATAACAGAGACAGGGATGTGTTTCATTCCTTCCCAAGTCCTTTCCCTGGAGCCTCTAGAATCTTCCCCAACTCATCAGATCTCTGTCTCTAGCAGCTGGGCTGCTGCACAGTCCCTAACCATGTGCAGTCTTCTTTTTGTTGTTGTTGTCATGAAAAAACTAGAAAAATACTCATTTTGCTAAATGCCAGTAAAGGGCTTTGTCTTGCACCTGTACTTATAAAGCTTGAGATTTATTGGTCTCTTTGTCTGAGGAGAAAGAGTGGGTCTGATTATCAGATTGCACACCAGAGACAAGTGCTTATGTAATCAACAAACTGTCTTGGTGTCAGAATACGATTGTGTTGGAGATAAACTGTGAAAGGAGAAAGCGTTGGATGCTGACATGCTATTGGCACTGAGTTTCTTGGTCTGCTTCCTGTAGTTGCTGGTGTATATGATGAAGCCAGCTTGTTCTTGGACAAAGCCCTTGTGTGGGTGGGGGATTTCAGTAACCAGTCGTGTTATCAATCAGGGTCAAAAGCCCCTTGCCTTGTGGTTTCTGAGACTGGAGAAGTGGGAGTTAATCTGCAATCCCTCAGTGAAAGGAGCCACAGAGCACACATTAATTCTTCCTCTCACCTCTCCTGCTTTAAGTGGCTAAGGTCTCTGAGCTCTGTTTAGCCTGTGAGCCCCGGTTCTCAGCTTAATAATACTTGGCTTTGCTCTAGTACCTTTCATTGTGAGGATGTGAAAGCTTTTTACAAACATTTATTAACACAAGTGGAATGGGCTTAAACTGTAGCATGAAGGATTTAAGTTAGGTCTAAGATGGAACTTCCCAGTATTAATTTTATAAAATTTTCTCTCTTCCTCATAGCTTCTTACATAAGTCTTACAGGTGTATTATAGGTTGTGAGTATTAGGTATAAGGACTGACTTTCTTAATTTCATTCCCTCTTCATCCACTGCCTTGATAGAGCTGAGAAGAAGTGGTCCATCCTTGGAGGGATTCACACAGGGGCACGAGGCCTTCTCTAGAAACCTGCCCCAACAGCTCAAGTCACTGTATCTCTAGGGGTTGAGGTCAAATCCTTTAAGAACTCAGCTGTTATCCATGCCTTCGCTGTTTTTTGGGAAGCATGGAGAGGGAGGGCACTGACTCTACCAGGCTTCTTCCAGGCTGATGATTCCAGGACTGCTGGGCACTGGAGTGGAGTTTGTGAAAGTCCCAGAATGGATGCTGAAGCTCCGTTCTCAGCCACAGAGTAGGAATAGGTGGGTTTAGTCTGCAGTTAGGGATCTTGCAGCAAGACCTGAGCATCGGCATCCTGGTCTTCACTTCTTTTTTTTTTTTTGAGTTGGAGTCTCACTCGGTCACCCAGACTGGCATGCAGTGGCCGCTTCCGGCCACCGCAGCCTTGCCTCCTGGGCTCCGGCGATCCTTCCGCCTCAGCCTTCCGAGTAGCCGGAATTACAGGTGTGCGCTACCACGCCCGGCTGATTTTTTGATTTATTGTAGAGATGAGGTCTCGCTGCCCAGGCGGGTCTCAAACCCGCAGGCTCAGGCAATCCACTCACCTCAGCCTCCCAAAGGCACAGGATTACAGGCTGAGCCACGGAGCCCGGCCACTTTTTTTTTTTTTTTTGAGTCGGTGTCTCACTGTGTCGCCCAGGCTGGAGTGCAGTGGCACGCTCATAGCCACTGTAGCCTTGACCTGCTGGGCTCAGGTGATCCTTTCTCCTCAGCCTTCCAAGTAGCTGGAACTACAGGCATGCGCCACCACACCCGGCTAATTTTTTTGATATATTATAAAGATGAGGTCTCGCCAAGCTGCCCAGGCTGGTCTCAAACCCATGGGCTCAGGCAATCCTCTCACCTCCCAAAGTGCTGGGAATATAGACATGAGCCACCGCACCTGGCCTGGTTTTCCTTTTTAATGTAGTGATTTTTGTCCCCAGAGTGATTCCTCTAGGACCGAGGGCAGGTGCTTGTGGGGTACACAGGTGTTGACCTAAGCCCCATCTCCAAGGAAAAAGGATTCTTGGCAAGGGTGCCTTGGTTTCTGTGTGAATGAGACTTTTTTTAAACCCTTGGTGTTTAGCTCATCTGATTGACCCTTAGTTGGAGCCAAGAGAAGGAGTGGACCAAGCCTTGCCCCTGAAATTCAGGCCAGACACAAGACTGGCATTTAGACCCTGGAGCCTTCTGAGAAGTGAGAGTGGCTGTGGGCCCTCTTTTTCAGGATAGTCCTGACCCTCAGCTGCAACTCCAGGCTTGAAGATGTGTCTCAGCGTAGACTTAACAGGAAAGAAACTAGGCCAGAATGGGCAGCAGTGGGTATGTCGGTGTCCATCAGTAATCTGGATATTGGGCTTAGAGCTGGACACAAACCTACTCCTGATTCTCTTTGGCCCCTCTGTGCCTGAGACAAGACACAGGGCAGCTGCCTACTCAGTTTGTGGCTCTGGATGGTGTACAGTCTCTGGGTACGAGCTGGAGCTGGGGTAAGGCCCATGAGGGGACTGCCAAGAATGAAAATTCCATGAGGTCAGGGTTTTTCTTTCACTGCTAGATCCCTAGTTCCTACAGTGGGGCCCAGCCTATAGGAGGCTCTCTGTGAATAGTTGTTGACTAAATAAAAGGAGTCATCCTTTGCACTCCAAGGTGATTGAAACTACTGGCCCAGAGTGCTTCCCCATCCCCATCCCCATCCCCCAGCCCTTAGCAGACCATCTTTTCTTTTCTTTGACTCAGGCCCTCCCTCTGCTGGGCAGTTCTTTGGTCTCCCAAGCAAGGAAAGGGTGTGGTGCCAGCCGGGTGGGCATGCTGTGGGTTAAAGCCTTGGGAAACAACAGTGTAGTTAATCTTTCTAATTTATTTTCCTTTTAGACCATGGGAAGTCTGTAGGCAGCAGCTGTTACCCAATTAAAATACAGATTAATATAAAAACAGTTTCTGGAATATAAAATAGAGTGGCTGTGTCCTTACACTTCCTTAAAATACCACCTAATAATGACTTGATGAACTACAGAAACCCACCTAGAGGAACTCAGCGTTCTTAAAATGAAAATTTCTTCCCTAAAAGGTGTGTATTACCATTCCATGTAAGTCACTATGAGAAAATAACCTTCCCTCTTAGAGCCAACGGTTCTATGAGTTGGGTATTTGGTATTCATTAACTGTAATTATAGTTTAATTGGAGTTTAATCCCCCTCCCCACTTTAAAAAAAAAGTCATTTCCAAGAAAGCCTGAAATACTGCTCTTTTCTGGAAGTAGCCAAGGGCATGTTGGGCATGGTGACTTCCAGTTGGTGTCCAGGACATGGGGTCTCATGCCCTCAGATCCTTGTAGGCAGTCAGTCTATCCCTACTCTGTGCTTGAGGGATATTTTTACTTAAACCCAAATCAAAACAAAGCAAGACGGTAAGCTTGTTTGAACTCAGGCCTGTCCTAGGTACAGCATAGATAGGCCTGTGATTTAGAAATTCTCTAGGTCAGATTGTATACATTAGGCATTGTTGTTTTAGCTTCCTCATTGTTTAAAGGTGATTCTGTCTCCTACTTGGCCAGTTGGTATTGAGAACCCAGGTTTGCAGGGTGAAGGGTAGATTCCTGCGGGCTTCACTGGTGTTAGAGAGAGTGTGGCAGGAGTCAGTGCTGGACATCGAGGCTCAGAAAAGAGGTAGGCTTGAAACCAAGTGCACCTGTCCTGTAGGAACACTCCCCAGGTTTTACAGGAACTTCTGAGTCGAATTTACTTCAGACTATAATTTTTGGGAAGTTATTGAGCCTACTGGATACAAAAGACATGTAAAACCAATTTTTTTGTAAAATGAAAACTGAAGCAAGTATGAGATGATACCTCATGGTCAGCATGTGTATCCCCATCTTGGGGCAAAATTTTGTGCGAGAAACTCACAATGTGTCTTGGGACTTTATTCCCAAGGCTTCTAGTCGGGTTCTGAGCTGAAAGCAGTGCCAGGTCAGAACTCTTTACAGTCGAAAGAGAAAGCAGAAAGGAAAGGGTTCAATTCAGCCTTGTGTGCCTGCACCCAGTTTTCCACCCATTGGCTATTTCTCTTTCCTTTCAGCTCACCGGGATTATTCAAGCCATGGTGGATGGTCAGCCAAGCCTGCAGCAAGTGCTGGAGGTAGGTTGAGTGACCTTTAATACCTGACCTCTGACCCCTTCCCACTGCCTTTCTCTCCCTCCCCTCCTGAGAATGTAGCCATGTAATTTGACTATGATTATGGCTTGATTAGAATAACATTTGCTGTCACATCAGTGACATGCTGTTGAGAGTATTGAACCATTGATCTGTCATCTCCAGCTGTTCCCATCAGGGTTACTGACAAGATGTCCGAGTGCTGCCAGGAGTAGGGCGGAGGGCCCTCCACCCCTTCTTGGCCCATGGCTAGCTCTGGGGCAACCTGTGCTGGGTGGGCTGGGGAGTAGGGGACCAAGCTGTGGCATTGTGGGACTAGCCCCAGGGACTGGAGGTGTTTTTGTTTAGCTTTAGTGTTGGCTTCTTGTGGCATGTGAGCACTTCATTAACTCACCCAGAACTCCCCATCAATGGCTTTTGTTTGCTGTGAACTCCTCCAGGAGCTGCGCAGGGCCGCCTGCCCCACTGCAGCTTGCCGCTGGATGCATGGTGCCTGCCTGGGGTGCAGAGGCTGTACTGGGTAATGATTCCTAATCAGAATAATTACAACAATTGCCTATGTGAGGAAAATCAAATTAAAGACTTTAAAACCCTTGGCAGAGACCACACTTCTAGGATGTTCTCCTCAGGGCGCTGGAAAAGGTTAAGACGTTGCTTCTTGTGCTCCAGCCCAAGGGAATAAGGAAGGGCAGTGCTTGGCCTCAGCTTTCCTTCCACCCCCCTTTGGCCTGGAGGTTTTCACAGGAGTAGAAGGTCCCCCCTCCCATGTCCTTCTCTGTAGAGGGAGGGAAGAAGAGAAAAAGGCTGTGAATCTCATTCAATGCTTTATTTGTTTTTAAGACCAATAAAGCCAAAGCTCAGGCCTTACCAAACCACAGGAGCAAGCAGAGTATATGGAGAAATAACAGGGCACATCCGCACTGTAGGTAGCCAGCCTAGAGGAAGCAGGATAATGGCAGGGTGGGCAGCAAGATATATTTTTTTTTAACCAAGAAATCCTATCCCATGGAGGAGAGAGATGCAGACTGAATTTCCTGGGATCCCTCAGGATGGTGCCAGCATCAGAGAGGCAGGTTTAGGCTCACCTTGGTGGCAGAGTTGACTCCTGTTCCTAGGAGTGTAGGAGTCCAGGCTCTGTGACCAGTCTGGTTGGGTCAGGGTTTGGGCACCTGTAGTAATCGGTAGAGGATAAGATGAGCCCTATTGACCCTCTTTTTTGAGAGGAGATTCACTCTTATCACTGAGGGAGCTTCTTAGCATGGACTGCTCCCTGTAAGACCAAACTCAAGGAGACAGAGGGGACCCATCCTTCCTTTTGTCCCAGCCAGCATCCCCAGCCAAGACCTGGCTTCTGAAGAAGCCAGAAGGCAGACAGCTTTCTCCTGGAACGTCTGTGGTTGGGATCCTGGGAGGCAGATACTTGCTCTGGACCAGCACAAGATTGGGGCTGTTACTGTTATGGACATTTTTCTCAGTGGCCCTAGTTGAGGGGGGATGTGGTCTTCAGGAGGCAATCTCCTGCAAGCCCTAGGGCAGCCCTGGAGCACAGTGCTCAGAAGAATCTGAGTCTTACCCAGGACTCCTGGTCTCAAGTAGTCTTCCTATGTAGGTGTCTTTCCAAAGCACATAAGCCACTGCTCCTGGCCCTCGTCCTTCCTTTGTATATGCTGTGGACTTTGGTCACACTAAATTTTACCTATTCATGTTTTCAGTCAGTCAGCAATATATTATTATTGGGTAGATGCTGTGTTGGGTGAGGAATTAAGGCAGTAAATAAAGCAGAGTCCCTGCCTGCATGGTGCTTATATATAGTCTGGTAGGGAAGGCAGACATTAAACAGATCGTTGCTTCTCAAATACAAAATTATCATGCTTGCATCTTTGCCGCTGCCCGTAGTATCCTTTTATGTGTTCCACCATGTCAAGCAAACCCAACCATCAAGTCCCTAGTTCAGTTCTCTTCTTGTGATGCCTTTCCCTGTGAAGGTAGGGCTAGCCACTTACTCTGCTCAATCCTGTAGCACTCTGATCACTCCTCCTTTGCTACATCTGTTGTATTATGATGATCTGCCTTTCTCCCCTTCTCAACCTACTGTCAATTTTGTGGTAGGCACTTAATACATTATTACTTTTAATCCTCAACAACTCTGTAAAGTTAGTATCCTGTCCTGTTTTATAGATGAAGGAAACTGAGGTTCAGAGGGGTTAAATAACTTTTAAATGATTTCCTGTCAGTAACACAGCTAGGATATGGAAGAGCCAAGGGTTGGAACCCAGATAGGTCTGACTTTCAATCCTGCGTTTTTAACTACTATGTGAGATAGCCTTTAAAAATAATTCTCCTGTATGAGTAGAAACAATAGTATGATCTGTTGCACTCCCTTTCCATGCCTGGGAACTTCTGAAAAATAGGCAATGCTTCATGAATTCTTTATGGTAATTCTCTTGTTATACACTGATTTTAGTATTTGTACTTCCAGCATGAGCACAAACAATAAAACCAATCAAAGGGATGAATGGGAAGAAAGACTTAAAGTGTGTTTAGGAGCAGTTTCTCCCCCTGTGTAGGAACTGAGTTCAGCCTTCAAAATATTCTGCTGAATTCGAATCCTCTACTGTGAAGAAGAGCAATAAATACAAAGTTGGTCAGTTTATGAACTTTTAACTACTAGAACAAGCAGCACTATCTCAGGTGTCAGGATGGGACTCCAACCCAGTAAAGGAGTCTCTTTAAAAATTGTTATCATCTTCTTTTGGTGTATAACCAATTTGCTAAGTTTGGTTAATAAATATTTGGTGGAAAGGTAAAATGAAGAAGTGAATGAATGAAGCTGTGGATTGGAGCCCCTGCTTAGGGCCTCCTTCTAGCCTTTTCTCATGACCCCAGACAACCTGTTTCTGTGGTGGGCTAGGTCTGAGGACCATTGAGAGGAACTACCAGGTCAGAGCAAGGTATTTGGGGCAAGCTGCCAAACAATGGGAGAATGGAGGGACTCCCTCCCCTGACATACTTGGGCTTGTGGGATCTTCCTGAAGGGATCATCCTCCAAGTGCCTCCATAGTTCTGAGCCAAGACTGAGAGCCCAGAGTGGAGCCATGGCTGGATAAGATTACAATTTTCTCCTGCTCTGATTACAAGCAGCTTATCTGCGTCTCACTGTTGTGGCTCTTCACAGGCTCAGGGGGAAAAAAAGGAAAATCTCATCTGTTTTTGTGTACTTTTCAGAGGGTCGATGAGTGGATGGCGAAGGAAGGCCTCTTAGATCCAAACGTCAAGTCAATTTTTGTCACCTGTGGAGACTGGGACTTAAAAGTCATGTGAGTATGAGAAAGGCTACTTCGCTGGCAGGACTTGGAATCTGTGGGGCCAGGTCTTGCCTTTCGGAGGCTTAAATATTCAAGCCTACAGGACAGCTGGGTCAGGGATTCCCTGGGTCTTTGGGGGCTACCAGGGCTAGAAGAGGGCTAGCAGCCTTACCTTCTGCTTCCCTGGAGCAGGGTGTGGTTAAATCAAGGCCCTACCTGATTGCTGTTGTTTGGGCCTTCCTGCTTTTGCCAAGCCTCACTGCTCATGACAGCCCTTCATATTTCTGGGCTATATGTTATTGCCGTAGTAGGAAGGAGTTAAAAGAGGGCCTTAAAAGAAACATTTTCTTTTAAAACCAAATACATAGTACTTGCTGTATAATGAGACATAGTAACTTATTTCAAGTAGGTATTACTATTATTCCTATTTTACAGCTGAATAAATTAAGGCACAGAGAGGTTAGATAACTTGCCCAAGAACACACAGAACTAGAATTTAAACGCAGGCAACCTGGCTACCGCTTTCTTACTCTTAACTATTGTACTATACTACCCTTGTATCTGGCATGCACACCCTGGTGATCCAACTGAAAGCCCAGTGGTGGGATGAGAGCAGCTCAAGTCACCAGCCTCCTCTTTTCTCTTTTGTCCCCACTGCTTTTTCTCCTTTGTCTCCCAATCTTGTTCCATTTATAGAAGACAGAACTGGTTCCTTTGCTGGGCTGACACTTCTCCATCTTGTCTGTCCTCATGGATACCTAGCTTCAGATAGCCCCCAGGGAACTAAAGTGGGGTGGAGGTGGTGGGGGCACTGTTTGCTGAGGATTGATAGAATCAATATGTCTGTGTTCTTTGTGACTGAAGGCAGCAGCAAGCATTCTGCGTGTGTGTGTGCGCACGCGCACGCTTGCATGTGTATGTTTGAACTTTTTTTTTTTTTTGAGTTGGAGTCTCACTCTGTCGCCCAGACTGGAGTGCAGTGGCCGCTCCCGGCCACCGCAGCCTCAACCTGCTGGGCTCCGGCGATCCTTCCACCTCAGCCTTCCGAGTAGCCGGAATTACAGGCGCGCGCTACCACACCCGGCTGATGTTTTGATTTATTGTAGAGATGAGGTCTCGCCAAGTTGCCCAGGTGGGTCTCGAACCCGCGGGCTCAGGCAATCCACTCACCTCAGCCTCCCAAAGGCACAGGATTACAGGCTGAGCCACTGAGCCCAGCTGGTGTTTGAACTTTTGAGCATAAGGTGGGGTGTTGGTGCAGGGTGGGGAGTAGTGGCTCTGGAGTGACATTTCCTGCCACATCAGGTGTCATCTTCTCACCAAGGTCCTTTTTATGCCTTTTGGATGCTGGGCATTGAGGTGACGTTATGTACCCTGATGGGTATCAACCCTCCTATTGGACCCCAACTCTCTAGGTGATACAGGAGGAAGGAAAAGCCCCAAATCACATGAGCACACAAGGACCTCATCTCTCACACTCTTTAGGCTGTGTCCACACACTGACTGCATACCTCTAGGTTCACTCCAGAGGGTTTTTGTATTCCCAGATGATACCTGGGAATTGTCAGAGAAATTATATAGGCTGACACTAGAAGCAAATATAAGTCAGAGGAGGAGTCCATGGAGAAGGCGAGGAGGCAGAAGACTATTGTTCTTGTTTATGGTGTCCTGGCAGCTTTGGGGCTCTTAAAGCCAGGAAGGGGCTTAATGTGGAGCTCTGCAGCCAGGGAGAAGCTATTCAGGGTAGAGCAAGACTCAGGCTGATACCCAGAATTCTGGGGCTCATGTGGCCCAGTCTAGAAGTCCAGTTTCTCCAAATAGCCTTGCCAGGACTCCCACTCTTCTAATGTTTTTTTCTTTTTGACATGTTCATCTTCCGAACATACACATTTCAGAATCTTCTGCTTTAACTGTGCATGGTGTGTATATATATATGTGTATATGACAACTTTACTGTGCATGAAGTTGGAGACTATATAAACTTGAAGTTGGTCTCCCATGGGATGGAGAGGGAATTTCAGAGGGTGTTGCTTTCTTTAGATCTGGCCTGTTCTGGCCTGCAGCACTAGTCCAGCCCTTAGTGCCTGCATTGCAGCACAGTGGGCCTTGGACAGATGCTAATGACTCAGGAGACTGCTTTGCATCTTCACAAGAAATGATGTCATTGAGAAGAGGGATTGGATTGTGGAACCCAAGCATATATGAAAGCAAACCAAGCTTGGTTTGGTTTTTTTTTTTTTTTTTTTTTTGAGCAGGATCCTACTCTGTTGCTCAAGCTGGAGTACAGTGGCACAATTACAGCTCACCACAGCCTTCATCTCTTGGGCTCAAGCAATCCTCCTGCATCAGCCTCCCACGTAGGCATGCGCCACCACACCTGGCTAATTTTTAAAAATTTTTTTGTAGAATCAAAGTCTTGTAATATTGCCCAGGCTGGTCTTGAACACCTGGGCTCAAATGATCCTTCCACCTCTGCCTCCCAAAGTGCTAGGATTACAGGTGTGAGCCATGGCACCCGGCCAAAATGAAGTTTAAATGAGCACATGCCTTATCTCATTTGGTCCTCCCTACTACCATCTCTGCTAGGCAGTATTATCTCCCTTTTTTAGATGAAGCAGAACAAACAAAAAACTCCTGAGGTTTAGAGAAGTAAATACTTATAGCTAGACAGAATTGGATTCTAAGACCATGTAGTTTCCAAAAGACATGGATAGGACAGACTTTTGGTGACTGACTTGGGTCTGAACTGGGAAAGCTGAGAAGGCACATGAAGCTCTGGAAAAGGGTGTACAAGAAGGAAGCAGGTGGCAGGTGGAAGGGCTTGGGGGAGGAGAGTTCTGTGGCGCCTCTTAGAAGCAGGACTCCGCATAACTGCTGGGAAGGCTCTTAATTAAATGTGTAACAAAATAAAAACACCCAGAGAGGAAGCCTAAGTAGTGCTGCGTGACAGTGCACAGCTTATCGGTGTTCCTGAAACCTCTCGGCAGAGGTGTGTCAGATGGCTCTCTTCAGAGCCATCACCTTTTTATGTGCCTGGTAAAGGCTGCTGATGAGCCTGACAAGGGTGGGGTTAAATTGACACTCACAACTTGTTAGTATGTAGCTTACTTCTGATTTTGACATCCATTTTCAGATTTAACTAAGTCTGAGGAATTCCGCAAGTATTTTAATTTCACACACTAGTTTCGGGAGCTATGCCGCCTCACTGCTATCCTTACCTCTTATCCCACCCCATCCCCATCAGCTTCACATCACTTTTGTTGGAATGGGGCTGATTAGTGGGGCACTGAGAAATGGGAACTGAAGTGGCAGCAAAAATCCCACTGGAGAAAAGAAATCTGCTCCCACCCTGACAAAATAATTTTGTGTTTATCTTTTGTCAAAGCCAGATGAGTTGATACTCCAGGTTTACGTGGGCTTTGATGCTGTAGTTATAGGTTCTGGTAAGATGGGTTTTTATTTAGTGGGTACAGATTTAATTTTCCCTTTAAAGTTCTTTAAGAAACAACATTTGGTCAGCTTGCCCTCTCTGTATGGCCTATGTTTCCTTCACCTTACTTGGTGTTTCCTGAAGCTCCCCATGTGGTTTAGTGCTGTTTTTCTCCTTACACAGGTAGGGAATGCCTCTTTCAAGGGATTCCACCTTTGGCATGGGGTGGAGGGGGCTGGTGTAGAGTAAGGAGTGACACCTACACAGGCACCCACTTGAGGAACATGGGTTTTAGCCTGTAGCTTGAAGAATCAGGTTCACTAGCTGGATAGCACAGCATGGCTGAGAAGCAAGACCAGAGGCTTTCCTGGTAGTTGTGGGTCTGAGAAGAGGGGCAGATCAGGAAGAGAGAAAGAACAGAGGGAGGCCCTGGCCTTGGTGCAGCTTGAGAAGGGGCCTCTTTATAGAGTGTCAGGATAATCAGATGCTGCTCTCTGGTGGAGGAGGGGCCCCGGGCCTGCTGAGAATCTGTTGAGAGAACCCTCTTCTCGGTCATCCTTGGCTTTGGAATGGGAAGTTTTCCTCCCACTGGAGGTTGAGCGTGTCAATGCTGGGATGGCATTTGACTTCCATTTTCCCCCCGGCTTCTTGGCGGGGTGTGCACACTACACTGCCCTGCCTGTACCTGGCAGGTGTGGACCTGGAGCACTTCAGGTTCTAGAAAGTCTGGAGATCACAAGATACTTGCCTAGATTACACTGTCACTGTTGGAGTTGGGGAGTGTGCACTATACAGGGACCACTGAAGGTTCCCTCAGGGGTGCAGTCAGGCAGTCAAGACCACTGAAGAGTGAGACTGCTGTTACCTGGAGTGAAAGGCACGGTGGTGGAATCATACACCTGGGCAAGCACTGTGGCTAGCGACTATCCTGTGGTGGTGTGGAAGATGGCTGGAAGAGTGACCCCATCACATACTTGCTGCAGATTAGGCTGGGCCCTCTTGACATCATTCAACAGAGTTGGCTACTTCATCTTTTTTTGAAATAGTCTTTACTTTTGTTATGTGTTCTGTTTCTTTGACTTCTCCTCTGTCACTTTTGCAGATATTTCTTTCCTTCTTTCTTCTTGATATTTCTTAAATATTGGTGTTTCTTTGATCTCTGTCCTGGCTGTCTTTTCTGTTTATTCTACATCGTCACACTTACCAGGGTGATCTCATCTTTTGCCTTAGCATCAACTATCCTCTGTACGCTGATGTCTTCTAATCTTTTTCTTGACTGAGAAAAGAAATCTGCTCTATCTGCCACCTGAACTCTAAGCCTGCATATCCAGCTACCTATTCTACATCTCCAACTAGATGTCCACAGGCCCCTTAGTGCTCAGGTGTCATCTTTCTCCCCACACCCTGTCCTCTAGCATTCCCTGAGATAATGATTGGTAGCATCTACTCCATTGCTCTGTCAGAAATCTGAGAATCATCCTTCCTCTAGTCACAACCAATTAATTGCCAAAACCTGTTGATTCTGCCTCCCAGAGGTTTCTCAGATTCATTCCTTTGTTTCTATTCCCACTGCCCCTGTCCT